GGGATTATCCCATTTTTCTTACTTATCTTTGTTGCCTTTTCTTTTGTCTTGGTTTTTCTCCATGCTACCAGTTTTTACTTTAATCTTAGCATGTTACCTTTTGCTACCGAGCAGGAGGAAGAAGCCTACGTAGATCATCTTTGCCCACTGCATTGTTCTGTTCCCACGAATCTAGGAGCCCTTTGAAAAACAGGCAGTACTTTAATTGACAATTGCGCATATCCAGTGGAAGTATTTGAATGAGTAAAAAAAGAAATTCAGAAATGAGAAAATGTGGTTTCTGTATGAGTGGCTTAACATGAAAATTAAAAAAAAATATTTTAAGTTCTGTTGAATATCTTCGTTTAATGTTAACTTGTCTTGCCATAACTCACAGCCAAACCTATGAATTAGATTAGTGGGTTTTTCACTTTGTCCAACAGCTTATTCTACTTATTTGTGTGTTCATGTGAGATTTCTAGCATTTGCAAAATGAATTGCTAGTAACTACCATTTAACAGACATTTATAAGGAAGAACTTGAACCTTAAAGTATTGTTTGACAGCCAATTCCAAGTTGATTGGCAAGGCTGTGGATAAGCTTTTTATGGAGTTGGAAATACTTATCAGATAGTCATCTAAAAATACCCTGACAGAGAAGGAAACAAATACTGGGACTGGTTCAAGTTCTTTTAATCCTGTGAACTTATTTTGAGGTCAGGTCTTTTCTTACTCAGAGATGCTATGAGACATACAGATGTCTTTTAAGGTGCAACCTTAGAAATAGTTTTTATTTTTGCAACTTTCCTTTTTTATTAACAGGAACGTTTATAGGAAAACAAGACTCTGTTTCTTAGGAGTTCTGCTACTTTTATTCTTTATTTGAATAATACTCCTTAAAATCAGAATCATCTCTAGAGCAACCACTTAGGACGTTAGCAAAGGAGATTTTCACCAGAGCAGGGAGCACACAGAGAGCAGTGGAGCCAGTGAAATATGGTCCTGTTTTTTTCCTTTTTAGAAATAAAGAACAAAAATGATGGGTATATTTGCTTTTTAGCACAAAATTTTTCCAAATGAGCTCTCAGTACAGTGATAAGTTATATCATATTAATTTATACTGAAAGAGAAAGGGTACGGAGTTGTTGATTTAAAAGTTCTCTTAAAGAAAAGTCTAGAATGGTAGATGGTAGTAATGAACGTGCCTTCTGGAGCCGGACTGCCAAGGTTTAGATCCCCGCTCCTCCACCTCTTGACTTAACTGTCCAGCTGTGGGCACATTCCTGACTGCACCTTGCCTCATCTGTAAAGCTGAGATGGTCTAGATAGTACCTTGCCCATAGGATTATTGTGAAAACTGAAATGAGTATATTCCAAGTGCCTAGAACAGTGCCTGCCACATAGTAACTGAAAATTGTAGCATAAGGTGTTTGTACGACTTTTCTGTGGTTTTACAGCCTGGTTTGATCCTAGGCAAGGATCAAATTAGATCCTTGCTAAATTAAAGTTGTTTATGTTTGCTTGAGTTTAAATTTTTTTTAAGATTATTTATTTATTTATTTGACAGAGAGAGAGAGAGAGAGAGAGAAATAGAGCAAGAACACAAGCGGGGAGTGGGAGAGGGAGAAGCACGCTTCCCGTGGAGCAGGGAGCCCAATGTGGGGCTCGATCCAAGGACCCTGGGATCGTGACCTGAGCCGAAGGCAGATGCTTAACAACAGAGCCACCTGGGTGCCCCTTGATTTTAAATTTTTATCATCTTAGTTCGAAATATGTCATACTGTGTTACTTGGGAATATATATTTCAATGTTTGTTAGCTCTAATTTGCAGCAATGACATAATTAATAACAGCATTCCTTCATAGACACACACTAATACATTGGCCATTGTATATGTTTATAAAGACACACGATTGGATATGATATATATAAAAGTCCTTGTCTCTTAAATAAAGTTACTCTGGCTGAGATCACTTAACTAAGTAGTTGCCAATTTGGTACCAAAAGCTCTAAGTATAGTTTTCTTTAATTAGTTATCAAAGTCACCATTGTAATTAATGTATATTAATTAATACTACCCTACTTTGGGTACCTATCATTTTCTTTAATTCATAAAGCGTGACCTTATAGTTCCTAACTACAAAGGCGCACGCCTCTTGGTGATTTGTGGCATTCAGCATATGCAGAGCTGCACCCGGCACTTCGCAGGCAGGGACGGCTGCTGTAGTCCGTACTGATACCAGCTTGTCTCCCCGCTGTCCCTGGGGACTCACACACGGGCCAGCAGCCCAGGAGTGTTCAAAATGCCTCCTCTTCTCATTGTTTGAATGAAAAACATGCTTCGCTCCCACTCTCGACAAATGTACTACCTCTTCTGTTTTTAATCTTGTAGGGTGGGAGCAGGGAATTGCCTTGATGATGGAATAGCCCTTGGCAGAGATCTGTGTTCTGGGCTGGGTGTTTAGGAGATGGGAGGTGATGATCCCTCTGGTTCCGTGAGGGGAAACGGACCGGCGTCCACTTGAGAGAAAGGAACAGCACTGGAGAAGAGTCAAGGCGACAGGGCAATAGTGCTAGAGATTGATCAACTTTGTCCTTGATGCAATTTTGCCCAAAACCTCAGCTGCTAAGAAGAATTTCACTTTATTAGTTTATAGTGCTGGTCTCAAGACACAAGGTCTGACATAGACAAATCTAACCTGTCTCCCCATTTAGACTCGCTGGTTCAGCCCGGTGTCTTCCCATCTACTTCTAAACCTTTGTGGACGTAGTTCTCACAGAATTTACCTCTTTTCAGGATTTTTGCAATATCCTATATTCTTTCTGTGAACAGATCAATTTCATATCTGACTGAAAACCATGTGCAGTGTGCATTGTGAAAAACAAGAATGAGGTTCTGTATCACGTGCTCACAGAGCTGGTATCGCAAGCCTTGTTTGTAAAATAATGCTTCACTGTTCTTGTAAAACAGTGTTTCAGGTAACGGTTTGGAAGACCTACAGATTCCTTGTTGAGCCCTGCAAGCCTCTCTCAAAGAAAAGAGCCCTTGATCTGAATGTGGACAATGGTTAGGGAATAGTGAAGATGCGAAGACCTCAGAATGCCGAGGGCCAGCTGGAAAATGAGCTCACCCCTGAGGTAGTTGCTAGAATGTTGTCACGATGGTGGGAATGAAGAGATTCTGCAACTCTTGAAGAAAGTACTGGGGGCTTTTTATTGATTACGTAAAAGCTTCCCAAACAGGAGATGGAGCATTTCCTTTCTTGAGGAATTCGCCTACAGTAGATATAGAGCAAGCTGCCTTCCGTTCTAGCCACAGGAGTTTCATATCCACTGAAAGAAATCATAAATTTCTTCTCTTCTTTATATTTTTTGCTGTGTCTTAGTCAGATGTTTCTCTCCATGCACAATTTAGGTTTTGCTCTTCATAGTCTGACCTTGAAGTGTAAGGGAGGAAACTTCTTTTTTCCCATCTAGATTCTTCTGCTGGTCCAATAATTAGATTGTCATAAAACAGTTTCACAGGAGAAAAATGTAATTTCATACATACAAGGACTCATAAAAATAGGCAACTCAAAGAAGTGACCAGGCAGGACACTTTTATACCTTTAAGACAAATAATAAATTTGTGAAGAATTAACAAGACAAAGAAGTTTGGGCTTGGGATATTAAATTAATGAAGAAGTAACAAGGGTTGTTTATACAGCCTTCTCAGCTGTGAATTTCTTATCTCTCTGGTGGTAAGGGTGTCTTCTATGCCCAGGTGCAGGGAGGCTATCGTTCCCTGGGGAATTTATCTCCCACTTTCAAGGGGACAGAGGTCAGAGTGTCCTTCTTGCACCAGCTGTTTCTTACGTAACTTTAATTCAAAATAAGGTGCCACAGTACCGTATTTTGAAGTGGACTGGCTTGAACCCCATTGAAGTAAGCAACGATTCTGCTAGTGGTAATTAGGAAAAAACTAGTTTCAGCTCCTGTCAAGCCAGTAAGAAAAAGATAGGAGGGGAGAATTCCACAGAAAATATAAATAACTTAAATATATAGAACTATGCCACTATCCTAAAGGGAATAATTAACTGAAACTGTGCTAGATGCCATTTTTCAGCAGTGCGATTGGCAGAGATCCAGCAGCCGGTGGAATCCCGATTGCTGCACATGCGCGGCAGCCTTCCTCAAGAGCTGCTAGTGAACGCGCACATTGGCACAGCCATCGGAGAGGGCAGTTCACTGCTTCTGCTGAGGGAACATACCCTCCGATTGTAGGAATTTATCCTACAGATGCATTTTCTTGTATGGGGCATGACATGCACGTGGCATCATGGTTTGTAGTTGGAAAAGCCTGGCCATCTGCCAGGGTGGTCCGTAAATCACGGCGCATCCACACGGTGGAGCACGACGCCGTCGTAGAAACACGAACTCCTTGTGAAGCGACATGGAGAAACCTGCTCTCCTGGTAAATGAAAAGGGCAGAGCGCTACCCATGTGTGGAAAAGGCTGATCCAGCGGGCTACAGGGCTTCAAGATGAGGCTTAGGTCAGAATCATGGAAATCTGTTTCAAAGCGTGTTATCAGCAGACTCTGCCCTCTGTGTTCCCTTTGTTAAGGGGACCCACTTTTTTTTTTAAATTTTTTTATTATGTTACGTTAATCACCATACATTACATCATTAGTTTTTGTTGTAGTGTTCCATGATTCATTGTGTATAACACCCAATGCTCCATTCAATACGTGCCCTCTTTAATACCCATCACCAGGCTAACCCAATCCCCCCACCCCCCTCCCTCTAATTACTATTAGAAGTCGGAAGAGGACCCGCTTCTAATAGTAATTCTGGTTTAACACCTTTATTTTTGGTTTGGCAGAAAACTTCACACGGTTGAGTAGTCAGTATAACTTGTTAGTTCTTAAAAGAGCGACTTAATTCTCATTATTATCTCTGTATTCCAGTGTACGTCCAGTAAAGATTATTTCAAGAGCATGTAGAGTAAAACTCATGTTTTTATTACTTCTTATGTATTTCAGGGACAGACGTTTGCTTCAGCCTGCTCAGGTGTGTGACATTCTGAAGGGTGTCATTTTGGTAATCTGCTATTTTATGATGCACTATGTTGACTACTCCATGATGTATCACCTGATAAGAGGGCAGTCAGTCATCAAGCTCTACATCATCTACAATATGCTTGAGGTGAGTGAAGGCCTTCCTGTACCTGCACGGTCAGCCTAGCCTCCTGACCTGCACAGGCTTGATCGAGGCGCAGACTTGGAGCCCAATGATACAGAACACTCACCTGACAACTCTAGTATTGGGACTATTGGCCTTGGTTCATACAGTCGCTTGGAGACCTTGTTAAAATGCAGATTCTGATTAAGTAGTTCTGGGCTGAGACTGGGACTCTCGTCCTCATAAGATGGTGCCTGCTGCTGGTCCTGGGTCCCCAGGGCATGACATGTCCTCAAGTAGGAGGGAAGACTACCTGCTGTCTAGAGACTTTTTAGTCAGTACCCCCTTGAGAATGTAAATTGTCAGATGGTAGGGAAATTTGTTTGCAAATCCTTTGGAAACCCATGTATACTTCTTACTAAAACTTTAAAAATTATGCAAAAATGTTAGGATCTTATATATATTTGCTATAATTTACTTTTAAAGTGCTTTGGAATTTTTACATAGAGCAAGTAAACATAACTTTCCCAATTTCTCCAAGTACTTAATATTTTCTAAAAAAGATTTTATTTATTTATTAGAGAGAGAGAGACAGAGGTAGCGAGAGAGAGCACGAGCGGGGAGGAGAAGGAGAAGCAGACTCCTCGTTGAGCAGGGAGCCCGACGCGGGACTTGATCCCAGGATCCTGGGATCATGACCTGAGCTGAAGGCAGACGCTTAACCAATTGAGCCACCCAGGCGCCCCAATATTTTTAATGCAATATATTTCACTTTAAAGCAGTCAATATGTGAGAATCTGCTTTCATACAAAAAATAAATTAAGTAGCTACACAAAGCAAAAGAAACATGCTTTGCTTTATAGGCAGAATTTTAATCAGTTCTTAAAATAGCAAGTTAGTCTAGGTTATATGAGAAAACTTTTGAGATTCAAATGCAGTTTCCTATATTTTTAGGGACACAAATAAGGTCTACTTATCTTTTAACTTAGCTGGGAAAGGATTTTTCCTCGTGAGTGGGCAGATGGAGGGGTGTAGGGGCTGCTGGCCTTTCTGCTCTGAGGCTGCGTTGCTGTGGTGGATGAGAGCTTTCCATCTCTTCCCAGAAGCCACGGAACTCTGCCCGTCCTGGTTCCTCCTAAATTCATTGACCAGTAGGATTTAAAACCACACCCCAGCTTCCTGATTCTAGGCTCAGTGCCTGTGCTCCTGCTCTGCCCCACCAAGTAGGATGCAGACAGTGTGGGTGAAGTTTGCGGGGGCAGAGTAGCCATTCTTTCACAGAGAGGAAAGCCTGGGCTCCTCTCGTTCTTTCTGTGGCCTCTCAGGCTCCTTCATTGCCTTCCCTCTTAGGGGACTGCAGGTGACACGGGCTTCTCCCTACCCCCACGCTTAATGCGTGTGCCCCCTAGTTTACAAAGCCCCCTGTAGGGTGGCCTCAACACTGTTATTAGAGAATAGGCCTCAAGGGAAAGGGTCCATGAATTGCTGATCAGAATGGCTGAAATGCATGTTCGCTTTGCAGACTATACTTGTTGAAGTGGTTTCAGCATAGTGGACAAGAGTCCTGGCTCTCTTCTAGAGATAAGCCATCGCTGACCGACCCCCACTTCTTCCACTCACTGCCTCGCTGCCCTGGACATGGCTGCTAGTTGCTGTGTCTCTAACTCTTACTGTCTCATCTGTGAATGTAGGTGTTAGGGGAATTACGAGCATGCAGGGAAGCAGGGTAGAGACAGGGCTTAGCGCGGTGCCAGACGTGTGTTGAGTGCTCCCTAAACAGTGGGTCGCTGTTATGCCTGCGTTCGGCAAATATTTAATCGACAGTTACTTCATGCCAAGCATTGCCCTAAACCCTGAAGATCCAGAGGTGAGCAAAGCCTGTTCTTAAGGAGCTTATGTTCTGCAGGTGGAAAAGAGACTGTAAACCAGGAGGTATTTGGAAGTGATAAATACTGTAATGAACAAGAACAGGGTGATGGATTAGAGACTATGGGAGCCAGAGATTGACGGTCTGGGTGTGGATGTAGCATTCTAGCCGAAGCCTGAATAATATATGCCGTTTCTTTTTTATCTGCTGCTTTTTATTCATCATACTCTGTTCATGGAGATCGATACCTCAAAGTGTCTTTAGGAAGTAAATCTGCGTATTACATACTCTGTGATTAATCCAGAACAAATTACAGCTACTGTTGTCTACAAATATTAGGTGCAAATACAGTGGGTCAAATGATATGTTTATCCTAAAGGACTTAAGTTCAAATCCTGAACCTGAATTTAAAGAATTAAAATCAGACTATGATTGTGATGTGCCTCTCCCTTTTATTTTTGCCACTATGTAAGACTCTTCCTTGTTATAAATATATAGCTAATTAGACAAAGTCTCATTCAAATAGTACAAGATTCTGAGCGCTCACTGTGTGTCAGAGAATAAAGAGATCCCTGCTGTTCCGTGGCTTGCCTTCTAGTGGGATTTAAAGTCAGAGCTCCAGTATTTTTGAGTTGCATCTGAGTTTTAGTAACATATTTAGGTGGAATATTAAGAAACACTTTTCAGGAAAAAAAAAAAAAAGAAATGAAACATTTTTCCAATGATTTTTCTCCTTAGGTAGCAGATCGTCTGTTTTCATCATTTGGACAAGATATATTAGATGCTCTCTATTGGACAGCAACAGAACCTAAAGAAAGAAAAAGAGCCCATATCGGAGTGATCCCTCACTTTTTCATGGCTGTTCTCTATGTCTGTATCCTTTAGAATTACTGGAAATTTCAAGTCAGTGCGTATTCTACGTTATTTTATTTGGTTAGCTATTTCTCAGATTTAAAGGGGTACGTGTATGTGTGTCCTGAAGATTAATGTGAAATGTCTGCTTTTAATTAATTGGTTATAGTAATAATTGTAAATTAAAGAGCCTCATGTATCTTTGCTCCCTTTAACTGGTAGAAAACAGTCTAGTCTCAGTGTGACTGATTAGATGGAAGAACTTGAGAATGCAAGGTTCGTATTTATACATACTTTATAGAGCTCAACATAACTTCCATACCTATACTGGAATTATTTGGAAGTTATCTTAAAGCCTATGAATTTTTGTTAAAACCTAGGGCTTAAAATGTATATGGTTCATCTAGAGGTAAAATTTGAAATTGATTGGGGAGGAATTTTGGAAGTTTTATCTCCTCTGCTCCCCACACCCCTTCTTAAAGCTTATCTTTTGAAGAGTTAAAGGCTTCACTATATAAACTGTGTGCGTGTGTGTATGTACCCATCTGTATATTTGTACACACACATGCACAGCTACACTGGAGTTCCATATGGGGTCCAGACTCATTCACAGGAATGTGTACTGACTCTGGAAGTGTTGTACTTGAAAACATTGGATTAATACTTGGAAAGATACGGGGTTAAGTGGGAAGATATCTATAAGTGTAATAGTTTGTTCCAAGTATGTGGAGTAAAACAGTTATTCTCATTTAAATAAACTATTCCATGTGTAATATGAATATAATTCTGCAACTTGTGAATATCTTCAAAAATGACGTGTAAAGAGGAATGTCAGTTATCAGACATTTCTTATCATCTTACATCCCCACTCCCCCACCCCCTGCAGAACTATAGAATCCAGTTGCTTCCAGACTAACTTTTACTTTGTGTTCTTTTCTGTTTTAGAATGCAAATTAGCTAAGTCTCTTTTTTCAGTATTTACCATAGTTTATTCCACTTATTAGAAACTTTTTTGAGGGCTTGTTTCCCAGATCTTGTGCCTAACGCCAGAAGTCCAGAAAGAGCAAGATAACCATCTTCCCGGACTCACAGTCTAAGTGAATAGATGCCCAGAGGCTCATTTCTGCTTTTGTTTCATATGGGTCCCATACATATTACCTGTCAAATTTGTATCAACTATAGCTAATAAGATAATAAAACACTAACACAAGACTGGATTTAGAAAGCATGATCATCCCCGCCATTATTCACTTTCTAAATTACATAGTGTTTTGTTTTTTTTTTTAAGATTTTATTTATTTATTTGACAGAGAGAGACACAGCGAGAGAGGGAACACAAGCAGGGGGAGTGGGAGAGGGAGAAGCAGGCTTCCTGCTGAGCAGGGAGCCCGATGCGGGGCTCGATCCCAGGACCCTGGGATCATGACCTGAGCCGAAGGCAGACGTTTAACCATCTGAGCCACCCAAGTGCCCCCTAAATTACGTAGTTTTATCTACTAATATGAAAACAGACAAGCTTTTTCCTTGATATCACTCACTGCTAGTTTTGCATGCAATTCTCATCATGGTTCAAGCAACAACTCTCAATGTGGCTTTTAACTCCCACAACAAGTCACTGCTTACTATCATGATGTCTAATAATGTAAGTATGAGATTTTATTTTGTATTTTTGAGGTTATATGGGCACTTTAATGGCAGTATTCTGGATGGAATAAAATTATTTTTTTTTAATGTTATTTACTGTCCAGGAAGTTTTATATATAGCTTTGTCCATTTTTAAACTGTTATAATGATAAAGGTGATATTTTTGTTTACTATTTCAGTTTGTTGAAATTAAAGGAAGTGTTTTCAAGAAGTTTGAAAAGAACAATCTTTTTCAAATGTCAAATAGCGGTAAGTACACTTAGCTTCTACATGCAGCTTTAGGCAGTATGATTTTGCAATTCGTTCTGAAACTCTGTGTCACGTTTCCTCTGGGCTACTGCTTCTTTGACTTAGCTGTGCTTTCTCTTACTCCCTCAACATCTTTACTGGGTTTTCTTGTTATCGTGGTTATCATAATCTCAAGATATTTAAAAAGATAATAAAATATGACAAACATTTGTATAGCACCATACCATACTTTCAGAGCTTCTTTTTAATCCAGAAATTTCTTTGTAGCAGATGATATTCCATTTTATAGATGTGGAAACTAACAGAGTAATTTGACGTCCCCAAGGTCACCTGCACAGATGTCAAGAGCAGAGTTAATGACTGTAAACCTCAGATTGTCTCTCTGTGCTCAGCTTTTTCAGTTATGCCTTACCGGCTCCTTACTAACCCTAAGAAGAATGAAAGCACAACATCTATCCCTGGAAACATTATCTTTCATAGTTACAAAAATCAAAGCAGCATAGTGTCTTGGTTCTCAAAGTATAGCCCATGGAACCCTGGAGGGGCATCCTGGAGTGAAGTTCACAAAGTCAAGACTGTTTCATGAGAATATGAAGACATAATTTATCTCTCACTGTGTTGACATTTGTACTGTGGTGGAAAATGGGGGTGGAAGAGCCCTGATGAGATACCGGTGCCCACCCCCCAGAATGGCTGCTCCCGTAGTCTGCCGCTAGCAAACGCTAGCAGGGGTACCAAGTGACTGGCCTTCTCATGCTTTTACTGTGTGAGTGGGAAATACTAGATTTGCCCTGGAAAACCTTCTGGTAGTTTCTTATACAGTTAAAGGTTTGCCTGTCCTGTAACTTAGCAGCGAGAACACATTTTCACAAAAGACTTGTACAAGAAATATGGCAGCTTTATTCATAGCAGCCAAAAACTGGAAACATCCCAATGTCTGTAAGTAAGAAAGCAGATAAACAAATGGTGGTATAGCTATGCTGTGGAACACTACTCAGCTATTAAAACAGACAAAACCACTGATATGTTCAACCATGTACAAAACTGGAATTTCCATACCTGAATTAGGTCAGTGAAAGACATAAATGCCTTACCAGTGTAACACCATCTTATGTATAAAATAGTATATTTATTTTGCAGACATTTACGTGTAATTGTACTTTCATAATCTTCGGACTAAAAGTTATACATGAACTATATTATTTATATACAGTACAGTATATGTTAATTTTTTTTCAGATATTAAGGAACGATTCACGAATTATGTGCTTTTGCTAATAGTGTGTCTAAGAAACATGGAGCAGTTTTCTTGGAATCCAGGTACGTAACTCTGAACAGATACAGTGCCTTCTAATTTTACTCTTTAGTAAACCAAAACTCTTTACTCAACCAAAAACCATTCTTTTACATGGAATAAAGTGAATATTGCAGAGAACTTCAAAAACTTTAGCTGCTCCACTCCACGGGTGTTGGAAATACCTGTTTGGGTAGAAGGGACTGATCATGTTCCCCGTAGTGTGGTGGGTGGTAGGACGCCGCACCGCGTGAAGTAGTCTTTGGCCCGTCATTTCCCGTCAACCTCACAGTGTCTCTAGAGCAGGGTACTCAGTGGGTGAGTGGACACTGCTCAGCACTGCAGCCTCTTTGTTTTCTTAACTGTAGTGTCCTGGGGTTACCTAAATGCAGTCGGCTCTTTTTCATTTTCACGGTTCACCAAAAGAACTTTCGTTCTTAACATTTGTTTTTTACTGATTCACTGCCTCTTAATTAGCATTTTTTAATTAGCATTTTGAATAAGGATAAATTGAAAAAAATATCATGTAAGGCAGTACATTTGGTTACTTATACATCTTTAAATCAAGGCCGACAGGAAGTTGTTGAGATTCTATGAATTTTCATTATCCATTCACTTAGCAGGCATTTCCATAAAGCCAGGCACTGTAGCATACGTAGAGAGTCCTAAGATAGATGTAGGACTCCCAGGCTCATAGTAGAAATTGACAGGTGATTATAACACAGTCTGGTAATGCTGAGTGATGTTGGTGGGAAATGGTCAAGTGCTCAGGTATCTCAAGTAATTGAGAGTTTTTTTTTATGTCTTGACATTTTTATGCAACCTCGTTCTTTAGGACCGAGATTATACTTTGCATTTTATTTATTGCCCTCAATGCCATGCACGTTCCAGGCTTTTAATAACTTCTTGTTCATTTATTTTGGTTCATTGCTAGTTTTCAGATACCTGTGAAAAACCAGAAACAGGTGTTAAATGAGATACATGATCTTGAAAATACATTGCCAGAAGTTATTTGCTTATAGAAAGCGTAAGATCAAATGATCTTTTTTCCAGTGGCTTGAGTTCCTGTCTGAATAAATCCAAAGTCTGCCTGACTTTTGGCAGCAAAGCCCTCCTCCACACACACTGGATTCTCCGTTTATAACCAAGGCAGCTAACATGGTATCTGTTAGAGGCAGGGGAGTGGGCATGTGCGGCTGGTTTCGGCAGAACTCACGTGGGATCAGCACTCCTGGAGCAGGGCTGTTGTGCCAAAAGACAGTAATCCCGAGCCTGCTGACCACTGGATGTTCAAAATCCTCTTCTCATTTGTACTGTGACTTTCAACTAATTATCTTAGGTCTTCTTTATTACTGCTATGGCAGAGTGTGATAAAAGGAACACTTAATATTTTTTACTCTTTGATTTCTTTAATTTGTTTTCTTAAAAACCAAAATACCATTTATGGAAGCTTCCTGTAAGTTTCCAAGATCATGAATAACATAGAATAATACTAGCTATTTTGTGTGCCAGGCACATTATTCTGCACTTTATCTCCTTATTTAATTCTCATAATGGCCAAGTATAGAGACTTCTTATTTTGTAGATGAGGAAACTGGAGCTTAGGTGATTAAGAAACTTGCCCTAGGTCATGGAGCCAGTTAGTGGCAGAGTTCAATGTTGAAAGAAGTTTCCTGATTCCCAAAGCCCCAACACAATGCCAGGCCCACTGAAACTGACAGCACAGAGAGCCGGAGCTACAGTCTCTCCACCCCGCCCTCCAGGGCCCAGATCCCAAATTGCCTAGGTCCTTGTCAACGTTTCTAACCTTTTCTTGCTCAGCCCCGCCCTTATATCCTTCTTCAGGGTCTTAGGAGGTTATTTGTTTGCATTTTTTATCAGGTACTTGATACCAAATTGACAGTGTTTTTTTTTAAAGATTTTATTTATTTATTTGACAGAGAGAGAGACAGTGAGAGAGGAAACACAAGCAGGAGGAGCGGGAGAGGGAGAAGCAGGCTTCCTGCCGAGCAGGGAGCCCGATGCAGGGCTCGATCCCAGGACCCCGGGATCATGACCTGAGCCGAAGGCAGACATTTAACGACTGAGCCACCCAGGCGCCCCTCAAATTGACATTTTAATAAATATAAAGATGAGCAAATGTGACAAATTGCATCAGTGTGACAGTGAAATAAATGATCAGTATCTTTAAGTCATAGTGATAAAGAGGGGAAGAGATTGTTCAGTTGACTTCAGCACATGTCCCTACTAGCTATTTACTGTCACATTAGGCAGCTATAGAATTAAAGGATGTTATGACAAGCCCGCTTAATTAGCCATTCTACCAGTGTATTGGCTCCGTGAAGGAAAGGGCTCTGTTCACCTCTGTGTCCTGCCCTCAAGGGTTTAGCACAGAAAAAATACGGAATAAATAGCTATTGAATGAATGATCCTTTAACTTGATAAAATATAGCTCTTTTGATAATTAATTGAATGCTAGTTTTGTCTCTGTTATCATTTATTGACAACATTGTAGGTTAGCCCTGTGGAGATTTCAGATTTCTATGGCAGCCTGTGATATTATGGTATATGATGTTCTATTCATATTAAGAGATTTAATTGTCTTTTTTCCCCTCTCCTTTCTAGATCACCTCTGGGTGTTGTTTCCAGATGTCTGTATGGTGATTGCATCAGAAACTGCTGTGGATATTGTAAAACACGCCTTTATCACCAAGTTCAATGACATTACCGCAGATGTATGTATTTTAATAAGCAGTTCAGTGTTTAATGTTGACTTCTGGGCAAACTGGTACAGCCACTCTGGAAAACAGTATGGAGGTTCCTCAAAAAGTTAAAAACAGAACTACCGTATGACCCAGCAATTGCACTACTAGGTATTTATCCACAGGATACAAAAATACTGATTCGAAGGGGCACATGCACCCTAATGTTTATAGCAGCTTTATCAATAATAGCCAAATTATGGGAAGAACCACAAATGTCCATTGACTGATAAATGAATAAAGAAGACGTGTGTGTGTGTGTATGTATGTACACACACACACACACATCAAAAAGAATGAAATCTTGTAATGACATGGATGGAACTAGAGTGTGTTATGCTAAGCAAGATAAGTCAGAGAAAGACAAATACCATATGCTTTCACTCATATGTGGAATTTAAGAAAGCAGATGAAATTGGGGGAGGGAAGGAAAAATAAGATAGAAAGCTAGAGGGGGGTAAACTGAGGGTTGCTGAAGGGGAGGTGGGCGGGGGGATGGGATAAAGGACTGATAGGCAGTGAGGAGGGCACTTGTTGGGATGAGCAGCGGGCGTTATACGTAAGTGATGAATCACTAAATTCTACTCCTGAAATCGGTACTGCGGTATGTGTTAACTAACTTGAATTTAATTTAAAAAATAAAAAAATAATAATTATGAAAAGTAATATTTTCTAAAGCAAAAAAATAATGTTGACTTCTGCTTAATATTATAAAGATGTAAAATAAGGCTAGGTTTCCTCAGTTTATTTATTAAGATAAGAGTACTGCCTGAAGTTAGAATTATAATTTTAAATTTTTAAAAATTATTATACTACAGAAAGTATGTTATTTCAGTATTGAACAATCCTGGTTCCATACTTTTGGGTGGAAGTATAGTTTGGCCAATAGTTCAGTAGAGTGTCACTAACTGAGAATCATTATAAATTGTTAATACTATCATCTGTGTACTTAAACTTTTTAAAAATCACATTGTTTCTTTTTTTTTTTTAAAGATTTTGTTTATTTATTTGAGAGAGAGAGAATGAGAGATAGCACGAGAGGAGGGAGGGTCAGAGGGAGAAGCAGACTCCCCGCTGAGCAGGGAGCCCGATGCGGGACTCGATCCCGGGACTCCAGGATCATGACCTGAGCCGAAGGCAGGTGCTTAACCAACTGAGCCACCCAGGCGCCCAAAAATCACATTGTTTCTATTTAAGCATAGACTATCAAACCTTTTCTCTCTGGCTAGATTTTTTTAAGTATTTTGTATTTAAAAACTGATTATTTTTCTGTGACTGTAGATTTCTGAAAAGTTGTAGAAGATAACTTTTTTGGTGAAAGCACTCAGGAGATTTGCTTTATGTTTCATCCAGCTGTTCTGTGGACTTGCCACAAATAGATGTGTGCTGTAGACCCATCATACACAAAGCCTGGGAGTTCTGGCGCCCTCCCCATTCCTTCCTCAGCCCCAAAATGAATATTCATTTGGACAGTTTCCTAGATTTTATTTGGCTTGTACTTTGTCTTACCGTGGTACTATTTCAAAAGGCAGAGATTTGAAATCTAACGCGGTTGCAACTGCTACAATATGATGATTTGATTAAGAGCTTCTGAATGCTTTAATAAACTTAAATAAGATTTTACACTCTTTTGTAAAGCACCGATCAAGTAATTTCACTGTTTACTCTCTTGGTTTCCTCAGTGCAAAATGGTCCCCTTTTCATGGGATCAGTTTCTTAGCATCTGAAGTCAAAATTAATAAACTTGATTCAAGTACTTAGTGCAGTTTTTAGTGAAATGACAGTTTCCAGTGCTTTCGTAAATGTTACATTCTCAAACTCAGTTTTACATCTTGCTTAGCACCCAATGTTGAATGAGGTATCATTATCATTACATAGACAGTAATAATTTTTAAACTATGCATTTAAAATTTCAAAATTATTTTATATTTATTATGCTACCTAAAATAGCCACTCTTCCCCAAATTCTAAACTCTCAGGATCATAATCATTGACTGTTTATCCCTCTTTGAAGAAAAATCTTTAAAAAGCTTGTGAACATAACAGTTGGGGCTGAGGCTGTTTTACCTTTACTGTAGGAAAACAGAGAAGCACTATCCAGATGTCTCCTTGGCTATCAGCACCTTTTTCCTGGTTAATTATTAAACGTTCTCATCTACAAAGTCAATTAAATCTTTGCATATTGTATATTTGCACTATATCACTTAATATTTCACTCTTATTTGTCTTTAGGTCTACAGTGAATATAGAGCCAGCCTTGCTTTTGACCTTGTTAGCAGTCGACAGAAAAATGTGAGCATTATATCGAAGACATAGTAGTCTGAAATTACCTGAACCATGGTTTAATTTAGTGTGGAATATTGGTTAAGGGAAAGTTGCACAAACTTCAACTTCCTACTTATCTCTGTTCTCAACATTATGTTTGTAATTTAGTAAAATAATGATAGTACTTAGTATTAAATAAGGTATGATTTCTGTAGCATACTAACAGTTGTACAACTTTGGATTTAAAACTTATGAACATTTAGATTTCCACATTTTACTCAATTACATAATAGTTGCCGGGTTCTCTTTTTGTGCATAGCCTCACCCATTGAGAACGTTTGCTGGTGGTAAGTGAAAGCGAACTTTTTCAGTGCCAGAAATCCTTCTCTCCTTTCTCTGTGCAGGCATACACTGATTACAGTGACTCCGTGGCACGGAGGATGGGGTTCATCCCTCTCCCACTAGCTGTTCTGGTAAGTTCATACTTTTTTCCCTTTTCTACAGTGAGATAGCTATTATGATAAAGTATTAATAAATGAATTATCAAGAAGTTTATTTCAGAAGGACCTGATATAAAAACTAAAGGGTAAATGATTTGGAAGGAAATTTTAAGTTAGTGTTATTCTTTTGGATTTTGAGCTGTCCAACAGATAAGTAATTTTAACAAATATGTAATGGCTTTCCTGGTAATGAGAGTACTCGTTTTTGCTTATTCATTTGGCAAAGATTTTTCTTTTTGAATGGAAATGCCTAGTGGTAGGCATGTGCGACCACTGTAGCATGTATTAGCGGAAGTCTGAGAAGTTGATCCAGCATTTCTAAAAGGCACTTTGACTGCTTTGATGCAGTAATTGGAGTTCTAGGAATTTATCCTAAGAAAATAGTTGTAAAAGGCACATGATCATTTATAGGCAAGATTATGCATTGCAGTGGCATTTACAATAGTAAAAATTTGGAAAGAAATAAAATAGGTTAAATAAATTTTGTTATGCTCAAGTGAAGACATAGTCTCTGTCCATTATAGTCATTACTTTTTACAGTTGTTCCAGAGTTTTTACAATAAAAATTTTTACTGTTATACTCAGAAAATATATATATATATATTTTAAATATTAGCACTGAGATGTATTAAATCAATCCAAAAAAATAGTCACCAACTTTGAATATTTTAATGAATTGCTCAGAACAGCCTTGCAAAAAGTTACTAGCCACATCAGGCTATAATAATGTTAATTAAGGTTTGCTGGCTGTGCCTGTATTTGATTATATTCCTCGTTGGCTACCTAGTCTCACATCAAAACAAATGCAACCATCTTTTTGCCAAAGGACATCTAGAGTTCTCCTGTAGATGCAAAGTGTCATGGAAGTCAACTAAGAGATGTATAAAGAAATTGTAAGTGATACCAACTGTATTTGAGACCAGCTTGCCTGACCTTTTTTAAAGGCTGGACGATTAACAGATTTAATGTTATGTAAATTTCATTGTGACTCTCCAGACAACCACATCCTAAATGTTTTCAGTTCTATTAGTAACTTGTTACATAATAACATAGCTTTCTTTTGTTTGGGAAAAGGAGCTCCTAGAACTGTAGAAAAACAGAGTATTTTAAGGAGTAAAATTGTTTAAGAGATTGATAGAATGTTAAAATTTTTCTGCATTTGTTTCCTAGAACTGGAAACATGATACATATAGTGTAAGAATAAACCTAGATTGCCTGACTTTTTTTATTTTTAAAGGATTGGTTAAATGATTGGATTCAAATGTGACTCTGCTTTGCCAAATAATAACTAACTAGTAGTAATTTATTTGCCAGAAAACTCTTCATAATTAGTATGGATTTTTTAATTTAGTATTTTTAAATTTTTCTCTGGCCTTTGTTTTATTCCTTAAATGAGTTTTTATGGTTGTTGTACCAAAAGATTTAAGTTTAGCTGATGATTGATTAATGAAATGCTTCTGAAGAACCTCCTGCATTTTCGGAGGGGATCATGCAGTTAGGCAGTGATCCAGTGGGTTTTCTCCTGTAGCACTTTTCTCGCAGAGCTCCAAAGTGACCCGGTAGCTTTGGCAGCCACCTAGGAGCCTTGAGGAATATTCTGAGGCCTCTTTAAGGCCCATGAGTGGCAGTGTTTCTCTCTAAATGTTACCTTATGTCCTAAAATGAAATCATATCCAGGCAAAGTAAAAGAAATGATATATTAAGGTCTCATGGAAATTAAGCTTTGGACATATGTACCTTAAAATTACCTAATAATAGTTAGATAAAAATGAAATCATTTAAGCCTTGAATGCAGCAATTGGCTTGCCTTTCATATTAATCAGTAAAATCCTAGAGCCACGTTAACGTCCACCACGAATACTTGTACAGCAGGTCATCTCCCCAGTAGAGCCTGTGACGGACAAGGACTTCCACATCAGTTTTCTCGTAGTGGACCTTCAGGGAACACGTGACAGTTCCCTCGCTCTCTACCCAGGTGTTCTTTTACTAAAAGCATTTGTAAAATATGGTTTAAAATGTATCTTATGGATTTATTTAAAACACTCTAATAGAGATCCACTTGATGATAACCTAACATGGCTGGATAAGGTCTGTTATTTTCCCAGACTCCATTTCCATGTAGCAGTCCCCCTAGACCCTGAGATGTAGACACATTGTTATTTTTTTTTTTTTAAAGATTTTATTTATTTTTCAACAGAGACAGCGAGAGAGGGAACACAAGCAGGGGGAGTGGAAGAGGGAGAAGCAGGCTTCCCGCTGAGCAGGGAGCCTGATGTGGGACTCAATCCCAGGACCCTGGGATCATGACCTGAGCCGAAGGCAGACACTTAATGACTGAGCCACCCAGGCGCCCGATGTAGACACACTATTAAGCCGAACCTGTAACGTATAAATATTTTCCAGTGACAGACCCACCAGATTAATTCAGCACACTTGCAAGGACAATGCTGTGATATTCAGTTTTTTTAAACAGTACACAGCTCCTAAGCCTCCCTTTTCTCTCTCTTCCCCATAAGTGACTGTGGGTTCTTAAAAAGACTCTCAAGGAAAGACAAAGAAAGCCATAATAAGGGAAGGGCGCACTACGTGCTTCTAGCTCTGGTGGGCACACATGCAGCAAGATGAATTTATTTGTATTTTCCAGAGTGATTTTTCATTTTAAAAAATCAGCTGATTTGCATCTCTGGGGGGTACAACTAAATGTGTCATTCACAAACCTAGATATAGTGCCTGACTTCAGAGAGTCAGCAACAGCTGAACATGACATTAGCCACAGGCATCCTAAATTTGCCTGAACAAATCCAAATCAACCACAGAAGTTTTCACAAGCAGCCAGATGTTCATGCAAATTGAAAAATCTAGAACTGCTTACTTGGATTTAGACAAAGCCTGCAAGAGTGTAACTAAAATGTTGAAATCAGCATGGAGAAGTCTTTATTTAAATATTAACTAATAACTCTGTGGTTGTTATGTTTTGTTTGTGTGTTTTTGTTGTTTTGGTTTGTTTCTGGCTAGCTCATCAGAGTTGTAACAAGCTCAATTAAAGTGCAAGGAATCCTGTCTTATGCCTGTGTCATACTCTTCTATTTTGGGTAAGATTAACTGTTCTTGAATATGTTTTTGGTTGTACAGTAAAGTATATATGCAAGATGTAATGGAAGTTAATTGCAACCAAATCACCCTCCACCCATTCTCACTGGCCCGGGGCTCCCTTAACAGCACATACCTCCAGTTGTGTTCGTGACTTGGTGACATTCAGTGAAATATGCTGCTGTTTAGTACTAGTATTAATAGCACTTTAGATTTTATTTTAATCTTTAGCGGAATCAGTTAAAGCTCTTTCTGCTTAGGGTTTCAGTTGCATTCCTATTTCCTTTCATGATAAAATCTGCCATTACAATCAGACATTTTCCTGTGTTTAAAAACATCTTTAACTCAGTGAATCCATGGGGCTCTCCCCACCAAGGTTTTGCTCAGGTTCTACGAGTCAGGATGCCCCCGCTAGCCATCAAGCCTCTGTTCCTGCAGTGTCCCAAGCCATGTCATCAGCACCTTGATTGGTGGCTTTGGTTTGACGCTGGGCACATAGGAAATTGTGTTGAGGCAGGGAGTCCGGGGCCTTGATTTCTTCTAGAGCCTGCCCCTTTTTCATACTACAGGGACTGACTCACAGCTTCTAAAGTTCAAGGAACCACACACCTCTCTCAGTTTTTTGACATTAAAAACCATGAGATCCTGCATCTCTGGTGCAAATGCTCACATAGCACTCCAAAGTTCTTGGCATTGTGCCTTGTTCATCAAGGGCTGTTGCTGTAATTGCTTCCATCTTTGTTTAACAAAATATTCTTGTGTTTTTCTTTTGACCTAAACCAGGAAGTGAAGCATGTGTATGCAACATCGAAAAACCTTTGTTTAGTTAACAGTTGTGTGTGTGTAAATCACCGAAGTGGATGTGCTTTAAGCTGAATGACTGAAAATTCACTACCCCCCCATCACTGTTCCCCTCGATAGTCCACAGAGGCCCAACTGCTCACAGACCTTTCCACTCCACTCATTTCTCCTCATTACCTTATATCAGGGTAGTGCCCAAATTATCCTCTCCTCCTTCAAAATCTTTCCCAAACCACCTTGTCCCTGAAGCTTTCTTTATTCTGTGACCTCACCAAGCCCAGGACTCTCCCTTGAGTGTGGACAAGTCAGAATTCAGTTGGGCCTCCTGGCACACGGTGCTGGGCTTTCTCCCCCCCGCCTGAGGTTCTGCCTCTTTCCCCCCAGACTTGCCGTGGCCCGAGCTGCAGGTGGAAGGCCTCTGCCCTCCTCCTGCGGTCAGCACTCCTCAGTGAGCACCCGCTAGGTGCCAGGTACTGGGCCTGGGGCAAGACTAGGGCCCTGCCTTTGTGGCACTGAAATTCTAGTGGAAAAATAGACAACCAGAAAAGCAAATTTCTGTAAAGTGACAGTTCATAGTAAGCGTCAGGAAGAAAAATAGGGTAGTGTAAGGAGATGGAGAACAGCGGAGGTGCCTGCCTTCCAGTCTCTCTGGTGAGCTTCAGTGGAGACCAGCTGGAGTGAGGGAGACAGCCATGCAGATGCCTGGGAGGATAGCAGACTCGGCAGAGGTGACACAGGACGGGCCCGACAGGAACAGCAGCGGGGAGCCCGGGCACCCGGAGCACAGCAGTCGAGACGGAGCGTCGCGGAGGGGACCCAGCAGCCCTGGGAAGGGCTCGGGTTCCAGCTGAGGGAAGGAGGAACCCTTGGAGGCTTCCGAGCAGAAGAGGGCTAGATCCAGCTGGCTTCTGGCCAGGACCACTGCGGCGGCTGTGTGGAGAAGGGCCTGGAGTGTGGCAAGAGGAGAAGCAGACCTCGGGCCAAGTCAGGAAGCGGTTATGGGCCCCCAGGGACAGGGAACTGTGGCTGCCACGCCAGTGGTAGCAGTTGGGGTGCTAACAGTTTGTCAGCTGGTGGCTATGTTGAAAGTGGAGCCAGACAGGACTTGCCGGTGAATGATTGGATGTGAGGTGTAAGGGAAACTAAGGAATCAAGTGTGATTGCAGGGTTTGGGGCCCAAGCAAGGAGGGTAGTGGAATCACCATACTGCAATGGGGAAGCCTATGAGAAATACATGCAGGTGTGATTTTGTGTTGTTTTCTTTTGTGTTTTGGAAGGCTTGGCTGTAGTAAATTTGAAATCCTGTTAGATACCACCAAGGCAGGGTCAGGGAAGCAAGGGAAGGTACGAGTAAGGAGTTCCGAGCACAGTCGGGTCTGGGGATAAATTGGGGAGTGTTTTGCTGTGAAGATCCTGGGGGCCATGGATCTAATGTGAGGTCCTCCCTGGATGTTTGCATTCTTAGCTCCTGGAGGGGAGAGTCTAGGGGCAGTGAAGGAAACCTGTTTGCTTCTTTCTTTGACCTCCCTGCCAGGCCCCTCCTTAGCCTCGCCCCCACTGACTCGCAGTTTCCTGTCATTGTCAGGATCTCACCTCAGCCATAGAGATAGCAGCCACCTCTTCACTCATGTGACACTGGAGTGGGGTCCGTGGTTGTCATTTAAGGTCCCCATACATGAGAAGATACCAACATGAAGAGTAGTTTTTCAGAATTTTTTTGCCAGATTTGTATCAGATACCTTAAAATGCCGTATACATTTTGGTCCCAGAAATTCCACTTCTATAATTATAGCTATCTACGCATTTGTCTTAAGGAAATACAGATTTAACCTAAGTTTTCCTAATTAGCAACTTTTAAATAGAAACAAAGTACTGGAAATAACCCATATATTCAGAAATTAAGGGCTTTAGGGGGTAAGGGCTTCAGTCGGCTTTGTTATATGGTAACTCAAAGAGTGAAATATTATAAGACATTAAAATAATGTCCCTGAGGAATATTAACTGGTAGGGAAAATATTCATAATATATATGTAAAACAATAATAGCATTTAGCAAAATTGGTGGACATTGCTGTGTGCCAAGCACTGTTCTGAGCACTGACTGGAATCACCTCTGGATTCATGGCTAAGAAATGCACTCAGGTCCACACAGGTTCTAAGCAGTGAGTCAGGATTTGAACTCAAATACTTGGCACCCAGAATCTTCCCTGGCCCCGAACTCCAGCCCCTACTGCTTTGTAAAATAGACTCTGCTTCTAAACATTGGAAAAGTACGGATTGGTATAAACTCATAAAAACGACTGAAACATAGCATACCAAATACCACAGTGAGTAGTGCTGGACTCTGGAATTAGAAGTTATTTTTTGTTCATCTACATTTACTAAATACATTTGTTTTGCAGTGAAAGAATAAATGTTAAGTATTTGGTACCAGGTAAAACTTCAAAGTGGTACAATTTCTTGTTGTAATGAGAACTAAGGAATCGATCAGGCATTTTCCCTTGTGGTAAAGAAGCCTCATGGGAAACTCGCCCATCCCAGACTCGGGCCTCCGGCTCCCGGGCCCACGCTCCTCACATGGCCCCGTGCCTTCTCGTTAGCAGCGGTAGGAGGTGACGTTCACCGTGATTGAGATGAATTCCAACCATGGGTGTTTGTTTCCTTCTGGTTTTAGGTTGATATCCCTGAAAGTACTTAATAGCATCGTGCTGTTGGGGAAATCATGCCAGTATGTGAAGGAGGCCAAGATGGAAGAAAAGTTGTTTAATCCCCCTCCAGCCAGTGCACCAGGCAAACCACCTAATAAATCACAGAACAAATGTAAACCCTCTCAAGGTACATTTGCTTCCAATGATCTGAATTTTCCCTAGTAAATCACCGTTTGGTCAGTGTTTCGCAGTGCTTTCAAGATTTGATTTCACTTTGCTGAGTTGTCTTTAATGTTTGTATTTTAGATCTCATCGCAGATACACCTAACGCAGTGCTCTGAGTTTTTACGTTTATTCCTTGTCCAGGAGATGATCGTTGAGCACCTGTTACACGACAGGCCTGGGGATACGGCAGTAGCGAGGAAGGGCAGTGCCGATTCTGACTTGCTGGGGAGACGGGGAGAAAGCGAGGGGGCAGTCATGCTGTAGAGAAAAACGACAGCCGGGTCGGGAAAGGGAAGTGTGACTGGGAGTCCAAAACTCCGCCAGCCAAGGACGCGGCACCTTCCCGGGAGGAGGAGCGCCAGCAGCATGTGCCAAGGCCCTGGGCGGGAACCTGCTGAGCCTGTGGAGGGACCCCAACGGCCGGGTGGCTGGAGTGGACCCATCCCACGGGAGAGGGACTAGAGAGGGAGTCAGAGAGGCCACCCTGCTGCCTGCTGTGTGGCTCTTGCTGTGTGGGAAGGCTCTGTTTCAGGGTTGGGAAGTGCATTTCGGACAAGTGTCTCAGTGCCCCCGTAGGGTGTTTTGGAGATCAGGAGACCGCAGGCCAGACACCATGCAGGAAGGTGGTGCAAGAGGAGTGACGTGATCCAGCTGGATCACTCTCCAGCTTTGTGGGAAGGAGACTCAAGGAGAGCGAGCCCAGAGGCAGAGGCCAGCGGGGAGGCTGCCTGGGTCAGAACAGGGGCTAGTGGTGTGAGCCGGGAGCACTGGCCAGATTCCAGATAGGTCTGGAAGAGCACAGGATTTGCTGATGAGGGTTCGCAGTGTGAGAGAGAGAGGAAGGATGATTCCAGGGCTGCTGGCCTGGAAGATTTGGAGGCAGAAGTGGGACACTGATATCGTATTTGTCATTAGATGGCAGTCCCCTGTCTGTTCCATATCCATTCATAGGACTTGTTGTTTAAATGGCTTAATTTTAAATACGCGGAGCTGCTGTGTGCCAGGTAATATCCGTGATGCTGGAGATGCAGAGAGAGTGAGTCGTGCCTGCAGGGCCTCCCAGACTGACAGGGGAGATGGCAGAAGCGGGTAATCCAGAAAGGGGAGCTGGTTGTCAGCAGGCATGGGGGGGTGGAGGGGAGGCTCCCGTCCTGGAGGTGGTGATACCTGAACGAAATTTCAAAGGGTAGACAAAGTGGGCATAGGGTAAGGGGCCTCCGTTTGGACTTCCCGTGGGTGGAATGCTCAGGGCTGCTAAAGTGACTACACGGAAGAGGGTGGATGTCCTCGAGTCCGCTTGCCCCTGACATCCTGAGTGTGGGAGCCAATGCTAACTTTCCGGGCAACAATCATTAGGACTTGGTCATGTAGGAGGGAGTTTGTTATACGGGAGTTCTGATCTTCCCAAAATCAGGGAGGTGTTATTTGTGGGATACTACCCACATAATAGCCCCTTCTATAAAATTTTAATTGAGCAAACAAATGGTGTAGCCCCTGAGTTTCATTATAAACCATGGCCGCTTATTTGCCCCAGGCTATTTGGTGTTGACTTGCTTTATCTTAAAGTATGGGTGATGGACACTTCCTTCCATTACCGCTCTCTTGGTAAGCTTGTATGTATTATAAGTTAGAGGGAAATCTTTTTCTAATTAGCTGGATCTGTTTTTCCACAGAAGAAAACCTGTCTGCTTCGGTCACCAGCCAGCCTGTTCATCCAAAGGAAAATGTCATCCCATTACTTGTGGCAAGCAGTTCTGATCAGTTTCTCACGACTCCAGATGGCGATGAGAAGGACATAACGCAGGAAAGCTCTGAATTAAAGCACAGATCCTCAAAGAAAGATTTGTTAGAGGTAGACAGGTTTACAATCTGTGGAAACCGAATCGACTGAACTCTGTGGCCTCTCGTGCCCAGCGGAGTCCCGGGGTGGGAGATGCTCTGCTCCCGGGACGGACAGATGCGAAAAATGGCACTTAAATATTTATTTAAAAACTTAAATTATTAATGGAAAGCGAATCTTAATATCTCTCTTCCAGTAATGGGGTCTGGCTGCAGGTCAGTTTGCAGAAGAGCAGCGACCTCCAGCCTGGACTCTGGAAACCTGACGGGTTGGAGGAGCCCCACCTGCTCGGTAGAGAGCAGTCACCCCCGGGCCTCACGGGCGAAACGTCAGAATCACTCTGCTTCGTCAGTCTGCGCTTCCAGAACATCGAATTGCCTCGAGGCCTCTTCAGTACAAGGATATACCTGGAAAACTGTGAAGCTTTTCCCATGACATTACCTTTCCAGTCCCATACTATTTTCACAAAAAGTTTTCAAACTGTCCTTCGTCTGCCAAAGCAGTAAAAAAAAAAAAAATAATTAAACTTAAGTCAAGATAAATGTTCTTACCACCAGAATAATCCTTGAAGAAGATGTATCTGAATTAATCAGAATAAAAGGCTACCTAAAATAATTCATGATGAATAGTAGCGTTTTATAGGAAAAAACCCTAACCCAGTTTGTTTATTTAAAAAATATTCATCGATGAAGGTTGCATCACGGAGAAAAATGTTTCATAATTTTTCAGTTTACTCTTTAAAGCAAAATGTGAGCTGTGTATTGTTCCATTGCAATGGATTAAATAGAAATACCCTTACAAAAAAGCACTTTTTTATACTGAAAAAGCAGAGCAGTGTTAACTTTAATGTATGGTTAACTGGTTTCGCTTTAAAACAAATTGCTTCATAAATTGTTACAGTTAAAAGGATTTGGTGTTGAATGGGCTGAAGAATTGTCAGTGTACAAAATCCAAAGGTGTGAACTTTAACAGAGTTTTTTAAAGTGACAGCTTTAAAGCAAATATTCTAAATGGTTTGGGTAGCGTCTTGCTTGGGCTTCTAAAATGCGGGAGTCCTGCTGATTGGAGCGTCTGTAGGGGTGCCTGTGCTGGGGGCCGGTGGCCGTGTGTTTGGGCTGCGAGGGCTGTCGGGGGGGGGGGCAGTGAGGTGTGTGTGTATGGACGCTGGGAACAGCAACCAAAAGGTGCTTTTTGGTTTTGTTTGAGACCAAGATTCCATTTCTGCTAATTACTAGCTTGTGGCCCACATCATAGGACAAGTCATTTCCCACCACAGTTTTATCTTGAGAAACCTTTCTGCATTTTTATAAAAATTTTACAGCGTCTCATTTCAAAATGTGCAGATATAACTGTTAACTGTCATTTCCTTTGATGTTTTCATGTTGAAGTTCAGCTCCTGTGCTGACACTTCGGGCATATGATATGCAGAAGATAAATTTTAGGGGATCTGTCTCTTTCCTGGGTGAAATACAAAGCATGCTTTAATGTTTTGGCTTCTTTGGCTTCTGTAGAAATACGGAAGTGAATCTTAATGTTTTGCATTAACTAAAGAAATATGAAGATTAATGTTCATGTAGGGTAAAAGAGGAAATCTTAATGAAATGCTTTTGTGAAACCAGGAAGTATTTTAAGTTAAAAATGAAAAGACTCGTATTTTGTGTATATTTCAATGAAGCCCCATTTTAGAATTCTTCTTGTATCCATCTCCTCTTCACCACCAAAAGGAACAGTGTCCACGTGAATGGAATAGTTTGGGGGAAACTTTGCCAAACGTAGCCCTGATCAGAGCAAGAATATGATTTGGGTATATCTTTCAATTCAGCTTGAATTATCCTGTTATTATTGTGCTGTCATTTTCGGAAGATTTCATTTCCTTTGCAGAATCTATTGGGAGTTTGGAATGATGTTCATTTCCTCTGTTAAAATGGCATTCAGTACTAATTTTATAAGTGCATCTTGTGTGAAACTCAATAAATTCAATTTTGTAATCTTTTTTAAAAAGGTCACTGAATTTATTTTAATAATGTTTACTGTTATATTTGCTGGAGTAAATTTCCCACTCTGTAATAAGAATTTACTTCTAATTTACAAGTGACAAGACTGTCTAATTTGAATTCTTCTCTTGGTCTTAATGGTGGCAAAATGTTGGATTTTTGTTCTGGGGGGTAAAAAAAAAAAAGGCCGGTACTTGATCACAGACCATTTCCTATCTCTCAGCTGATGGAGGCGCTTGCATTTGACAGGTGTTTTGAATGTCACACAATGTGTTTTTCACATCTGAGAGTCAAGTTCAAGACAGTACTTTGCTTTTTAAGAAAAATTTAAGGCACAACATAGGTCAGACTCTAATTAGCTTTTCCTTTGGAACAGAAGCATAAACGTCAAGGGTCATTCAGGAGCTTGTACTTTGTACTTCTGTACTTTGGCCAGTATTTAAACTGTACACTCATTACATGTATACATGGAAGAAATGTGTAGTTAGATCCCCAAAATGTTTCTGCCACTAATGCTAACTCAGCAGAGGAGAATATAAATTCACAAAATCATTTAAAATCACTACATTTTGATATGTTTCAGGTTCGTTTACCTATTCTTCCAACAGGGATTTATGAATCACCTTATATGTCAGGAGGCTTTGCTAAGATGCTGGGATCAGCAGTGAGCCCAGCTCCAGCTCTTCTGGGGAAGACCAATAGTAAACAAGTCAGTAAAATAGCGTCTCCTGGAGACACATTGCCTAATGACCAGAAGACCTTTCAGGTTTATTTCAGATCTAAAATAAATACGGTTAACATTTTATAGAAGTCTGATTTTTTCCCTATTGTATTTTTGTAAAATAAAATAATTATGTAGCAGTTTCACAGTACTTCTATAAAATAGAAACAGGAAAATAATTTTTTTTTTTTAAACTAAAGACTGCCACTTGTCCACCAGAATCTGTTCTGTTCCATAAACAGAGCTGCAACTGAGCACGTAGCTGCCTTGACAGTCGGGGACCACATCCCTGAGTCCTTGCTGTTGCTTGTGGCCTCATGACATTCCCACCAAGGGATGGAAGTCAAAGGGATATATGCCAATATGGACCCCCTTACACCTTCTCTTCCCTTCCCACCAACTGTAACCCAGAGAAGGTGTGACTTTGCCCCAACCATGCAGATAAATGCCGCGTCCATAGGATGGCAGGGGGATGGATCCTGGGTTCCTGAATGCCTCTGTGGAGCAGAATCACCTGTCCACTAGGAACATTCAGACGACGCATGAGAGAGGAATAAATGCCTTTGTTTCGAAGCTACTGAATCTAGGGGGTCTATATCAGTCCAAATTAATACACTAAGAAATCTGGAAGGGTCTATTTAGAGATCTTCACATAAATGGAGTGAGGTGTTCGACCTCTAAAACACATACTTCTGAAAAGAGTCTGGATTCTCATTCGTACTTTGTAGGGAAAAGCTAAGGATGACTATGTCCCACTCATTCAGAGGTCAGACTCCAGCACCCTTGGTCATCTTGAACGGAACCTTAAAATTTGCTCATAAATGGCAAAGTCCTATTTGTTCATACAGTCTACTGACCAGATACACCTTGCTCCTTATTGCTCAGGAAATTGTGCACAGGAAGAGTGAAAGATCTAGTCTAACAGCACAGAGAAGTGGAAATAAAGGAGTTAATACATCAAAAGAGCAGCAAAGGTATGGTCATCTGGGGCCAGTTTGAGGCAAACGGTTCTATGCAAGTGATTGCTCGAAATATACCTGTGTTACGGTTCAGTGTGATATGCATTATTCGTGAGTGCCTGAGACATCGAGGATGGTTTAGGTCATGTTTAATCTGATTGAGACATGTCCACAATTAAGGAGGAAGTTGTTAAGGAAATTGGCATTCTAAGAGAGTTTTGGTGATCTGAAAAGTTGGCTTACAGGGAACAGCTCATGTTCAGCCATGCTTGCTTGGTCTAAATTTCAGTAAGAAAAGATAACACATTTTGGCAAGTTAGTAGAAAGTCCCTTTGGCACAGTGCAGTAAAGGTGTACTGGAAGTTGTTTGATAATGAAAAAGAAGGGTAAGTATCCGCACAGCGTATTTCGCTCTCAACTTATGACTTTCTTTTTGGCAGGTGGGGAAGTTAAGGGCAGTGGGGGGAGGGGAGTCTTGGGGTACAAGAGACACCTTTAAAAAAGATTGGATCAGGAATTGTAGAGTGTATAAGCTCTTGAAGGGTGAATTGTAATTATTTTTAGTAAGTGTATTCTATTTCATTTTAGATATGTCTGCATAAGAATGTAAACACTAGGAAATTGCTATAATAACAAGATTAACCACATAGAGTGAAATACAAGGAAAATGCATAAATATCTCGTAGGGCTTGATTTAACACATATTAATTGCACAGTCCCTGTGGAAGGCACAGATGTAAAGAAGCTCTGCTCTGCTCTAAGGTCTAGCAGGCAGACTGATGGTTGAACTGGTTGGGCAATTCCAGTCCTGTGAGCTAAGTGCTGCCATGAATATGGGTACTGGTTGCAGCACAACATCTAACTTAGACGGGGCCCCAGCGTCTATCTTGTACAGTTCCTGGCATGAGCCGGTGGCCAATAAATATTTATTGGATGACTAAACATGGGAGCCATTGTGGGGAATGTGCACTCGGACCGCCTGGAAAAGAGAGTAGGAGTGAGATGGATAAGAAGGAAAGGAAGGGCGAGCCAGGCAGGGACGGAGGAGGAAAGCACAGCATGGCCCCACATGGCGTCACATGGCTGAGTGTTGAGTGCCAACCATCATGCTGAGAATACGAGAAGGAAGAGCTTCAGTCCAGAGGGAAGGTGGAGAAGGAGGCAGGGGCTAGATCTGGAGAGCTTTGAATGCCTTACCAAGAATCTTGGACTTGATCCTGCAGGCGATGGGGGGAGTCTACATGGGATCTTCAATTGGATCATTGGAGCTATCAAACGAGAGGATAAATGAGAAGAAAAAGAAAAGCTACTTGTAAACTATAAAGGGTTAGGTAACCTGTCCAAGGTCACGCAGGTAGCACATCTCAGAACAGAAAG